CAATCCGCTAGAAGCAACTGAAAAAGAAAAGCTTGCGTATTTCTCCGAATAAGATTTGAATTCGAAATGGGAGTGTGAGAATATATATTTCTCCGAAAAAAGTTAAAGTTAACCATAATGAGTCGAGTTTTGGCCAGATGAGACAAAATTTGGCCATAAGAAATAAGGTTTGATTGGCCAAGGTAAGATTTGGTTAGTTTTATAGAGAAAACCAAACACTAAAAACCCGTACAGGGTATTCCTCAGAACCAGGCCCCTAAAAGTTAAACTTTCTTCTGAATCAAACACTCCAGACATGCAGTTTCTCAGAATCAAATCCTTAAAACCCAGAATGTTCCTCAAATCAACTCTTTAAAGTTTATAAGTCTCTCAGCTGGATATAGCTGCACCATAATTCGGGTTACGGTTTTGAAGACAGCGTTTGAAAAAAGGCCTAAGAGCTATTTTTCGTAAGCTTTATGGATAACCGAAGACACTGTTCCTAAAATGTATCAATTTCCGAGCATAAACTGTCAGACTGTTATGGCACATGCATACCTTTATCACACTTGGAAAAAATTTGCAAAATGCATTCTTTGATTTATGACTGGCAAACGCATAAAAAATTTTGGAGAGACGAATAAAGCTCAGCTTCTCTTCAAAAGCATCTTCATGTTTTTTGATGTTACATCAATATTTTTATTCAGTTTACTGCTAAACGGCTCACTTTTAAAAATAGCAAAGGCATGATGAACACACCAGTGTTGTTACTAAAGGTTAAAATTTTGAGCATGTTACTTTTTGACCACGCTTGGAACTTGCTTTTAGCTCTTCCTTTAGCGCCTGACCTTTGACCCAAGAAGTTCCTATCGTCTATAAATCAAGGCCTTTAACCCAAAAATGTGAATCAACTTAACTGAGCCCTTAAGTAGTAATAAAGTAAGACAAAAGAAGCATACGTACAGAGGTAGTAATATGGGAAAAATCAAAACTACTTATATGAATATGTTTATATATAAATATATACGTAGTTGAATAATAATGTCTGCTAAAATGAAGAGGTGTTCCATCCAGTTATATACGTGTAAGGTAGCATATGAAGGATTCTCATTAGTCCATTTAGACTGTTTCATAAAACTAACCGCCAGTACTTGCTCGTGCATATCTTTGCTTAGCCGTAGTACTTTGCTTCGTCGCTCAAGTGCACCACTGAGTGCATCGGCCATTCGATCTAACTCGTCGCATTTCGGCAATAAACTGGCTGTTAATTCAACATCCTGCGATGAGATGAGCTCTTGTCCTGCATCGCGTAACAAGCGGGCACCATTCACGTCTTCCTGAAATCGACTTTAATACGCATGTAGTGCAAATGATAAAACAAGTCTAAGAAGCGTGGAAAGTTTAACAGTACACGTTTTCATGCTCTTTAATTTGTTTCAGTATTATTAGGCATGGTACCCACGCAATGTTAGAGGAACACGGAGAAGGCTGCCGATGTGATGAAAGGATTCACCAGAAAAGTTATATGGAATTACGTTTAATAAGACAGAGTCAAGACGAAGAAGAATGGAGAAGCTGCCAGATGCATCAATAGCGAAAAGTAACAAAGTGGTGAAAAGTCTTATCAAAAATGAAAATATTAGTAGGAAATGGGAAAGGGAAAATTTCGTGCTGCCATAGCCATTATAAAACAGTTGTAAAGTTAGGATTAAAACTGTAACTGAAAATAAAACTTGATGAACAACACGCCATTTCGACTGAAAGTGGATCAACATTGAAGTGTTCCTTGTTCTGCGGGAATTCGGCTTTGCCACAGTTATTATAATTTATAACATTTACTAACCTGTGATAATTTACAATGCTTTCAAAAACTGGTATTATTGTTGTTGTTGTTTTTATTACTATTCCTGATGGTATTTATTATTATTACTATTGTTATCATTACTGTTATTCCTGGTATCATTTGTTATTGTCGTCATTATTATTATTGTTATTATTACATTTATTATTAATGCTGCTGTTAATTTTATTATTACTTTTAATAATGTATAATAAAGCAAAAAAAGTAAAAAAAAAACAAACCATTGCTTGCTGAGCATATTCGGAATGTGCTTGAGCTAATTGTTCAGCTTTTTCTGGACCATCGCCCACTTCGCGATGCTCTTCCAAATAAATCATATGCTTGGCGAACGACGATTGCAGCTGTAACAACAAAACAGACACTCCAACAAAAACAAACACATTCACCGATTACAACTAC